TGAGAGAGGTAAATGTGCCTTGAAGTGATTATCTTTGAAACTACCACTCCACTTCCAGCTTAGTTCAAATGTGGTAACTTATAAAACATTAAAAAATACCCCATTGACTGTTCCTACCACATCCAACAAGAAACGGCCCTCCAAAACATTACTAGTAAAAATAAATCTAGAACTCCAACGCATCATGAACTCAACATGTCAACATTTCTTTTGGAAGAAATATTATAGTGAAATGTATTGCCACCAAACAGGATAAATTTTAAGATTGTTGCTAATTCTTTCAGGGGTTGCTGCTTCAGAACAAGTAAATCATCTACTTTTTTTTGTCCTTTTTGTGTGTGTTTTTTAAAAATTTTATAAACATATTAAATATTGTTTTATCTCCTGTCCTTTTTATTTATTTATTTATTCATGTATTTGTTTATTTATTTATTTGTTTACTTATTTATTTATTTTGAGGGGTAGGGGAAGGGGCAGAGAGAAAGAAAGTATCCCAAGCAGGCTCTGCACTGTCCCTGCAGAGCCCGTAATGGGGTTTGAACTCACAAACCATGAGATCATGACCTAAGCCAAAATCAAGAGTCGACACTTAACTGACTGAGCCACCCAGGGGCCCCTCTTTTTTCTTTTATTTAAAGTTTATATATATATTTTTTTAGTATAATCTATACACCCAACGTGGGGCTTGAACTCATGACCCCAAGATCAAGAGTCACATGCTCTTCCAACTGAGCCAGCCACGTGCCCCTCTTCATATATATTTCTTTTCGAACCCTTTCGTTGAGGCCTGACTTTGAATAGATCACAGTGAGAGATCTGCTCTGCTAACTATGAAACCCCGATGCAGAAGCAGGTCGTCTACAAATGGTTTAGCACCAGGTTCCCCATGAAAGTCTACTTTTTAACATACAATAAATGAGCCCTCCAAAAAGATAGTCTTTGAAAATACAATAGATACCTAACATTAGTTACAACTAAAGTTACAGCTTGCATGCAAGCTTAAAAACTAAACAATCCCAATCCCATACAAGCATGCCCATTCAGATAAGGTTGGGATATAAGATGACCTAAACACATACAGTGAACAGGATGCCAGCTCTCAGTGCCACCCCAACCCCTTGACCATGGGACTTTGCCATGATTCCTGGAAATGATATACATTGCACATACATATGATAGCTACAGGTGATCATTTACATTTAAACTAATATTAAAAACGTGGTTCTTCAGTGATACTAACCATAAATGTTTAACAGCTACTGTGTTGGACAAGGCAAATAAAGAACACTTGCATCATCACAGAAAGTTCCATTTGCCATCATTGCTCAAGCAAAGGTTCTCTTGCTATTCATCTTAAATTACCCTCCTTTTTTAAAAAAAATTTTCAATGCTTATTGTTTGAGAGAGAGATACAGAGTGTGATCAGGGAAGGGGTGGAGACAGAGGGAGACACAGAATCTGAAGCAGGCTCCAGGCTCTGAGCTGTCAGCACAGAGCCTGAGGTGGGCTTGAACCCACAAACCGTGAGATCATGACCTGAGCCAGAATCAGGTGCTTAACCAACTGAGCCACCCAGGCGCCCCACCCTCCTTCTTTTACTTCCTGAATTATCCGCCTAATTTTCTCATAGCTTTGGTCCCAACTCTGAATATCTTAACAGTGTGGCTCCTAGGCAAGTCACTTAACCTGCTGAGCTGGTTTGCTCCTCTTAAATATCAGAATACTAATGCCTTCCCTCTCTGTCTCACAGCCTGTTGTGAAGCTCAAATGAAATGTAGCCATACAAATAAAAAGTAATATTAATCCTGGAGGTTCTTTTCCTTTCTTTCATTTTCTAGTGACTGCAAGAGAAAAAAAAAGTGATGTTTAATACCTTTTATACTTAAAATGTGAAATAAATATTATAGTTTGAAGAAGATGGAGACTTGCCAAAAGAACCCAGAAGCTGGTTAGGTCTCCCAACTTGGCCACATCTTATTTTTTCTAAGCTAAGTGTCTGGGCGTGTGCTCTGCAGGAGTCATCCTAAAATAAATAAAAGACTCCAATATGTGTAGCCATAGAAAATATGTCATTTGTTTATCCAGAAGTATGTTTGTCAATCATTATAATTATGGTAATAATAGCTAACATTCATTAAATGCTGCCAGTCAGTTTGCTAAGTGCATCATATCTTTTACAACAAAAGTATGCAATAAGTGTTATTGTTACTACCACTTTATATATCAGAAAACTGAGACCTTGAGTCTCAAGAAATTTACCAAAGGTCACCAACAACTGAGGTAAAAGGAATTTTCTGTTTGTTTTTGTTGTTTTTGTTTGTTTGTTTGTTTACTTTAACAACTTTTTATTGAAATGTATATACTTGGGGTGCTTGGGTAGTTCAGTCAGTTAAGTGTCCAACTTCATCTCAGGTCATGATTTTGCAGTTTATGGGTTTGAACCCCATGTCAGGTTCTGTGCTAACAGCTCAGAGCCTGGAGCCTGCTTTGGATTCTCTGTCTCCATCTCTCTCTCTCTGCCCCTCCCTTGCTCATGCTCAGTCTCTCTCTCTCTCAAAAATAAATAAACATTACAAAAATAAGAAATATACATACTTGTATGCATTTAAGTGTACATACAGCTCACAGATTTTACATAAACTAAAAAATCCATGCAACCAGAACCCATATTAAGAAATGGAATAGTTCCAGAACCTCAGAAAAACCGTTGGCCTAATTCCTGTGTCTTCTCCCAGACAAACAGTAACCATAATCCTGACTTTTAACACCATATAGTAGTTTGGACTAATTTATAGTTTTGACTTTTATATACATGGAATCATAGTATATGTACTCTTCTGAGTCTGATTTTTCTGCTTAACTTTATATTTGTAAGATTTATTTAAACAGTTGAGTATAGGTGTAGCTAGTTCATTTTGTTGCTGTGCAGTATTTCACTGCAAGAATATATCATATCTTAATTACCTGTTTTGCTGAATAAATACAGCTGATTGAAATTTGGGTTGCATCTAATTTGGGGCTCATATTAGTTTCCTAGAACTGCCATAACTAAGTATCACAAACTGAGTGGCTTAAGCAACAGAAATGTATTATCTCATGTTCTAGAGGATGGACGTCTGAGATCAAGTGTCATCGGGATTGGCTTGTTTGGAGAGATGTAAGGAAGAATCTATTCCATGCCTCTCCCCTAGCTTCTGGAGGATTTCTGGAAAACTTTGGTGCTTCTTGCGTTGTAGAAGCATCAACCCAATCTCTGTCTTCATCTTTACAAAGGCATTCTCCTTGTGTGTGTGTCTGTATCCAAAGTCTCCCCTTCTAAAAGGTCATTAGTCAGGTTAGGGCCACACCCTACTATGACCTCACCTTAAGAACATCTGCAATGACTCTATTTCCAAATAAGGCCACAGTTGAGACACTGGGAGTTAAGACTTCAACATGTAAGTTGGGGGTAGGGAGAGGCACAATTGAACCCATAACAAGGCTACTAGGGCCAACACTGCTAACAATATTCTTGTACATATTTCAGTAAATACATGTACTTATTTCTGCTGAGTATACTCCCACAAGTGTATGTGATAGATTTTAGAGTACGTATATGTTCAGTTTGAGTAGGTACTGCCAGTTTTCCAAAATGATTATATCAATATCCCCTCCTCTCATCGATGTATGAGAATTCCGGCTGAGCCACAGCCTCACAAACATTTGGTATGGTGTCTTTTTTATTTAGACCATCATGATGGGAAGATAGTTGTATCTCATTGTGATTTCAATTTTGACTTCTCTGATGATTAATAAAGTCGAACTCCTTTTTGATATCGTTATTAATCATGTGGAGATAATTTTGTTGATCTGGTCATTTGCTTTTTTTTCTATTTAATTACATGCGTTTATTTGGGACTTGCAGTAACTCATTTTTTTGGAGATAATGGGTCCTTCATATATACACATATATCCCTTTTCACTCTTCTCAGAGTTAGGAAGTAGGCTTCAGGCAAGTGACAGATATAGGTAATTTGCTTCACTTTCTGCCTTCTCTTACGCACGTGTTTAAAATGCCAGGAGTAGAAGGTGAAAAATCATATCCTAAAATAGTGACAGGAGGAATAAATTAGTGCAAAACTATCCATCAGCATCTGGTCTATTTGGATTTTTTTTTTTTTTTTAAGTCTGACCTTTGGTTTCAGCGAGTGAGTGTGTGCATGTCTGTCAGAGTGCCACACTGTCTATCTGCCTCGTCTTTTCAACATTCCTTTCAAAGGCTTTAGCCACTTGGCCTGCTCGCCTGTCTTTTTTACAGCTGTTTATGTATGCTCACTTCCCCTGCCTACAAGCACTGGCTACAGAGGATAGGATGTATGTGTTTGCTTTCAGTACCTAATATGGGTCCTTGCATAAAGTAGGCCCTCATTATTGACTTGTTGACTGTAATTGATTGAAGCCTCCATTTGATTGCCATGCAATAGATGCATAGTATATCCATTCATAGAATGTTGTCTTGTTTCTTAAGAATTTTTAACATCAAAAAAAAATATTTCAAGAGATAACAAAAAATGCCATACTTTGTAAATGAGGTTTAGAAAGTCTCTAGTATTTCTCCATGAATATTTTCCTGGTTTATACGAAATGTAAATAGAACTAGGTCTGACCACTTAAATAGCATCTCACTAATGATCTCCTTCCCACTTTTTTTTTTTTAAGTTTATTTATTTTGAGAGAGACAGAGAGAGTGAGAGTGGAGGAGGGGCAGAAGAGAGAGGGAGACAGAGAATTCCAAGCAGGCTCCACACTGTCAGCTCTGAGGCTGATGCAGGGCTCGAACCCACAAAACCATGAGGTCATGTCCTGAGCCCAAACCAAGAGTCAGATGCCTAACTGACTGACCCACTCAGGCGCCCCGCCCCACTTTCATTTATTATTACAGATAGAGTCTCGTGATTCTCAACCTTGTACTGGTTCTATAATGGGCTATAACTCTACTTAAGAGTTTTCATGAGGGGGCTCCTGGGTTGCTCAGTCGGTTAAGTGTCCAACTATTGATTTCCGCTCAGGTGATGATTTCACAGTTCTGAGTTCGAGCCCTGCATTGGGCTCTGCACTGCCAGTGCAGAGACTGGGATTCTTTCTATCTCTCTGCCCATTCCTCCCACCCCCCCCCTGCCAAAAATGAATACATAAGCATTTAAAAAAAATGTTTTTGAGAGAGAGACAGAGACAGAGAGACAGAGACAGAGAGCAAAAGCTGGGGAAAGGCAGAGAGAGCAAGGGAGACACAGAATCTGAAGCAGGCTCCAGGCTCTGAGCAGTCAGCACACAGCCTGATGCAGGGCGTGAACTCACAAACATTGAGATCATGACCTGAGCTGAAGTCTGCTGCTTAACCAACTGAACCACCCAGACACCCCCACCCCCCACCAAAAAAAGGAATTAAAAAGAGTTTTCATGAGGTGCCTGGGTGGCTCAGTTGGTTAAGTGTCCAACGCCTGATCTCAGCTCAGGTCTTGATCTCAGCTCAGGTGTTGATCTCAGGGTTGTGAGTTCAAGCCCTGTGCTGTGCTCTGTACTGGTTATAAAGCCTAGTTTAAAAAAAGGTGCAGTGGGGTGGGGGTGGGGGCACCTGGGTGGTTCAGTCGGTAGAGCACCCAACTCTTCATTTCAGCTCAGGTCATGATCCAGGGTCTTGGGATCCAGCCCCATGTCTGGCTTTGTGCTGAGCATGGAGCCTGCTTAAGGTTCTCTTTCTCTCTCTGTCTCTGTCTCTGTCTCTGGCTCTCTCTCCCCCTCCCCCCACCCCATCCCTCTTCCCAGCTCACACTTTCTTTTTCTCTTTCTCTAAAAACAAAAAGAAGAGTTTTCCTAAGTTACTTCTTATTATACATAACATATATTTATACATATACATGTAACATATAACGTAACATAAATATACATAAAATTTACTCTTCTAACTATTTTTAAGGGTACAGTCCATACTTTCACACTGTTATGCAACCACCACCACGATTCATCTCCAGAACTCTTCCATTATCCCAAAGTGAGACTCTGTACCCATGAAATTCGAATTCCCCATTCCCCTCTCCTCCTGGCTCCTAGCAACCACTACTATCTCTATGAATGTGACTATTCTAAGTACTTCATGTAGGTAGAATCATAGATTCATCCTTTTGCATCTGGCTTATTTCACTTAGCATAATGTCCTCAGGTTTATCTACGTCATAGTATGTGTCAGAATTTCATTTTTTTTAACACTGAATTATACATTGTATGTATATACATTGTATATACATTGTATATTGTATTGTATATTGTATGTATATACATTGTATGTATATACATTGTATGTATATACATTGTATGTATATATCACATATTATTTATCCATTCATCCATCAGTGGATATTTGGGTTGTTTCCACTTGGGTTATTTTATTTAATTTTCACAATTACCAGTCCTGGTAGGCCTCAATTTGAAAGCTGAGTCTGTCACTTACATAGCAACTGACACTGGTCAAGTTGAATTTTCCCGTTGCATATTAATTTCCCCACTTGTAAAATGGAAATGAAATTACCCACCTCACTGGGGTAAGGATTTAATAAGATAACAAAATACCTAGTGTAGTGCCTGTCATATAATTGCTATTAAATAAAGGGTAGCTAGTAACATAATGATTCATGTTGATGGCAAACAATTCAAGAGTCTGTGCCATTCATCTCAGAAGTCCAGACTAACGTACTCAATGTATCTCCTGCATCACCTGCTTTGTGAAAAAGTCATCTCAGGTCATATACATATGGCATATGCAAAAGGTATTTTTGACTTCTAAAGTGTGCAAATCACTTGGGGCACCTGGTGGCTCAGTCAGTTAAGCATTTGGCTCAGGTCATGATCTTACTGTTTGTGAGTTTGAGGCCTGCATCCTGCCCACTGCTGTCGGCACAGAGCCTGGTTCAGATCCTCTGTCTCCCTCTCTCTCTGCCCCTCCCCCACTCTCTCTCAAAAATAAACTTTAAAAAAATAAAAGAAAATATTCAGATCACCCAAGGAAGAAAAGAATCATTTGTGAAATATGCATTTTTTTTTTTACTCTATCCCCAATCTATTTGCCAACTTCAAAGAGGTTAAAATGTTAAAAGTGAACTTCAAAGAGTTCACTTTTAAGGAGTATCAGTGATTTGTCTCTTCAGGGAGAAAATGTTTCATTTTGTTTTTCTAACAAGTAAGTAGAATCATATCTTTAAGGAATATGGAATTAATAACTTATTAAAAATAAAAGCATCTTCAGACTGAACTAATTCTCAGAGTTAGCATCTGGGAAAATAAACAACCAAACTATTCAGACAAATTTTTTATGAACTTTTATAATAATATAGCTTTTTATTTTATCTGATATAAAATATTAATTTATACAATAAAGAAATTTTAAGTATGCTTTATGATTATAATAAAGTTTTATAATTAACATTTTTTTAATTTTAGAAATCTGTATATATAAAAAAATAGACAAAATATTTATTTCTGATTTCTTTTCCTGGACATAGTTTTTTTAGGGGGCTAATGGAGAGAGTAAACATAGTCAATGATACTCTATATTCAATTTTATATCCTTTTCCACTAGAACTTATAATACTTTACATACAATTTTTCCAAGGTGATGAAAATCTCTAAATTTCTGAACATGTTTTTTTGTTTTTTGTTTTTTTTAATTTTTTTCAACGTTTTTTATTTATTTTTGGGACAGAGAGAGACAGTGCATAAATGGGGGAGGGACAGAGAGAGAGGGAGACACAGAATCGGAAGCAGGCTCCAGGCTCTGAGCCATCAGCCCAGAGCCCGACGCGGGGCTCAAACTCACGGACCGTGAGATCGTGACCTGGCTGAAGTCGGACGCTTAACCGACTGCGCCACCCAGGCGCTCCTGAACATGTTTTTAACAACTAACTAATTATTCTTTCTTAACTCCTTTCCTGGTAACTTATTTCAAGAGACGAAACATACAAAGCAATTAAGAACGTAGACCTAAGCCAAATTTGTGTGTTCAAATCCTAGTCCCACCAGTTGCTAGCATTAACTTGAGTAAGTTATTTCTTCTCTGTGTCTCAGTTTCTTCATTGAAAAATGGGAATATAAATAGTGTACCTACCTGATAGGATTGGTATAAGAATTAAATGTGTTAACCTACAACACATTAAATACTCACAAAATTATTAAGTGCATATTTGGTATGCTAAATACTGAAATCTTAAACAAGACAAATACAATAATTACTCTTAAAATCTGTAATATTATTTATAGATTATTTATACAGCCTTCTGTTTAAATTTTAACATACTATAAAGTACTATAAATACTATAAAGTATTTTAGGTCACGTAGTAGGACTTCTAATTACCAATTTTTAATATATGGTGGGACTAAGTTTATAATTTTATTTTTCACTTGTCCAAGGGATATACATTTTCACTGAAAAACATAATTTCTCAGATATAATGAAAAGTGCTTAAAAATACAAGTGAAAATCAATAAAATTTAAATTTCCATTTCCCAGTCCCACAAGCCACTTGGTTACACCAGCCAGCTCAATAGCCATATGTGGCTAGTGGCTACAATATTGTATAGAGCTGATATAGAACATTTTAATTATTGCAGAAAGTTCTGTTGGATGGAGCTGTACTATGGCTTTAGGCAGAAAGTGGCATGTTTGGATTATGCATTAATTCATGAGTTATGTTTTTTGCCTCCATTTTATTCAATAAATTACTCAATTTTTGGTAACCAGAAATTTTTTTTATAGTATACTACAAACTTAATATTATTTCAGAACTAAACTAATCATCTATAGTAAGGATCAAATGTAAGAAAAATGATATGTGAGTGTGATACAAATGTTTTATTTCACATTTTTCTTTTCTGCATTAAGTGAAAACTTACTCCTATCATATTTAACAAATGATATCTTCTTACTTATTTGTTCATTTATCTCTCTATTATTTATTTATTTATTAAAGTTTATTTATTTATTTTGAAATAGAGGGAGGGGTGGGGGGAAGGAGAGAGAGAATCCCAAGCAGGCTCCAAACTGTCAGCAAAGAGCCTGATGAGGGACTCAAACTCATGAACTGTGAGATCATAACCTGAGCTGAAATCAAGAGTCAGATGCTTAACCTATTGAGCCACCCAGGCAACCCTGTTATCTTTTTAAATACTTAATAGATCAAACTCTGCTTAAAACAAACTTTGTATAATTAAAAATCACAATTTGCTCAGAAGTAGAGAGACTGATATAATAAATCTTCCTGGGTTCATCAGGTAGTTTCAACAATTATCAATTAATAACCAATCTTTATCTATAACCTGACTTCTCTCACCCCTGGCCTCCATTGGATTATTTTGAAGAAAATTTCAGACATTATTTCATTTTGTCTATGTACATTTTAGTATGTATCTCTGAAAGATGATAAGTTTTTTTGTTGTTGTTTTTATTTTGTTTAAATTTTATTGAGATATAACTGACATCCAGCACTGCATAAGTTTAAGGTACACAGCATAATGCCTTGCCTTACATATATTGTGAAATGATTACCACAATAACTAAGAATGCTTTTTTTTAAATATATGAAATTTATTGTCAAATTGGCTTCCACACAACACCCAGTGCTCATCCCAAAAGATGTCCTCTTCAATACCCATCGG